ATCATTTCATTCTGTTCTTTCTGGCTGACCCTCTGACAGTCAAAATTAAATCTGTTAATATGGACATGATACTTTCCTGCTGCCCCCCTCATCCATCACCCCCCCCCCCCACCGCCACTTCTAAATCCCCAGGATTTTCCTTTAAATTTTTCTTTTAGGTCCAGTCAGTGGATCTGCCAAGTGTAAGCACTGTGGACATTTTCACCACAAATTATTCCTACTACAGAATGGCCAATGCATGAGGGGTTTACCTCCATTTGTATTAGGAAGTAAAATAAACTCATTTTCCCAGTTTTTCCAGTTTTCATTTTTTGCCCACCATCATCCCCATTGGCATAAGGGATCTTAATAATGTATCTTTGTCTCTGCAAACAAGAGATTTCATTTTGTTTAATAACCAACATATAATGATTTCAAATGAGAGTCATTGGGCAGAATATATTAGTCTGGTATTGATTTTTAAACTTATGAAACATATTTTTTATTCAACATTCAAAAGCATAGAGCCACCTACATGGTGTAACAAAGTTCTAGTTGGTCCTTACTTTAGGCCAAATAAACCACTCCTTGCACAAGTCTCAGCAAAATTTTATACATGTATTAGAGCTACATGGCTGGCAGAAAAACAGACAGTTACTTCAAAACCACAAAGAAGTGGGAGCCCAAAGAATTCCTTTCTGCAATTCAATAAACAAGAGGAAAGATGTACTGTTTGCTGGCTCAAAATAGACACTAATTTTACATCTGTCTCTGAGGCACAGCAAAAAGCCAGCTAAAGAGCAGTAATAAATGTCCAAAAACAGCATCAGTATCCAAAACTCTCCTAGTAATCTTCAGAGGAATTAATTACAATTCTGTGTAACAGTTGCATTGGCAAAATGCACCCATAATTATACACAGGTACTGTACTGTATTACAGGGAAATTTGCCATGTGATACTATGTTTACATGATAATTGATGGATAAGATAAAACTATTTGCATATGAAGTGCATATGAATTATTGGCATGGCTCCCCATTTTATGTGGAATCATATTAAAGTTTCATTTTCTCTAAAACTGTATGTGTAATATGGGGTTACCAAAGGGTATAAAGCTGATACTTAAATTTGCTTTATAGCAAATGGGCCTGGAAAGATATATCTGAATGTGCATTACTAAAAACCTGTATTTAAAAGGCTTCATAGTTTATCTATAATAAGCATTCTTTTCACCTCACCAGATTGCATTAAATCCTCCCTATTCTTCCTTCTAAGTAAACAATACTTTAAATTTTATCACCAGACCAATTAATTTTACAAATCATATGCAAAACAAATAATGGTTTCTCTTTATTGTCTGTTGATACAACTTTTTTCAGATTTTTGTATTCTGGTGACATGTAACAGAATAGTAACCAAACGTGACATTTTTATAATGTCCATACCTGATGGAAAATTCCAGCATTTGCAAAAATGGCCTATCATAGCATTTAAACATTGCTGATAATTAGCTTGACATTTGAAATACCAGAACTGTTGTTTTGAAGATGCCCTATACAATGTTACCTAACTAACCCTTTTCATACTTATATGCTTTCTCTACATTATTCTGTCAGTTATAGTACAAATAAGATATCAGTTGCTAATGTATTAACATGCCAAAGAACTGATATGAAGGGGCAATACTTCATCTTCACCAGAAGCAGACATTTCATGGATGGAAAGGAAAATTACATATGCAGATTATAGAAAGTTAATTGTTAATAAGGCGGTCAATAATGATTTTCTATAACTCCACTCAAACTAAGTGTGCCAATAAGTCTTCCGATGCCATCATCAAATATTTATATAATACCTGCAAAGTGTTGAGTCCAGAGGACACAGGGATGCGCTATTCTTACCTCAGGAAGCTTCCTGTCTGTTGGGTGGCCAAATACTTTGTTCGGGTTTTTCACAAGATGTTACTGAAATATCCAAATGAACTTTTTGGCCAACCCAATATTTGGAGACACAGCATTATAGAATTGTAGTGCTAGAAGGACACTTGAGGTCAACCCTGGACCAAGGAAGTTTTACAGGTACAATGAGGTCAGATGACTCATCCAGGGCGCTGCAGCCGGCTGGGGGCAAAGCTGGAGGCTAAAAGCACAGTCCCAGGCACACTACAGCCACATGGAAATATACATAATAATACACACTCTCCAAGAAGAATGCAATCTAAATTTAAACTCCACACAATCAGAGTAAAGGAATGGAAATCCCTGGGACTTGGGGCGGTTTTATGCCCCCAAATGAAAATTGTCACTTCATTTTAAATTGCTTTGATGATTGTTACTTTCATGGATCCCTTTAATTGGAGTTATAGAAGCATACCAATTTGATCAATTACCAGAATCTAACAATACACCCATGTTTCCCACAATACTTTGAAAACAATAGAAATAAAGCGGCAGTTCCCAAAATTACAAGCTTGAAGACCTGTCTTCTTGTCCCAATCCCAACATATAACCAGCTGTGTGG